AAGAAAGACATGACCTCATTTTTTTGTCAGCCAGTACTCAGCAGGGCTGTGAAGGTGTGCTCGTTCTCTTACCCATTCTAGCTACCAAGGCTGACTTGAAATGGTGAAAGCTCAACATTGAGTGGAAAGCAGGACATTCACTTTTTTTCGCCATAATCTGTTACCGTTGGTTGATCATAAAACCTCACTGATGCAGTCTATTCCAAACCATTATTCATGCTTCTTGAAATTCAGGCTAACCTCCCATTTCAGATCTTTGGAAAGGGGAAGGTTAGACCAAATTGATATAAAGCTTAAATTGGTGATTTCCCAGTGATTCTGATCAGTGTGGAGTTGAAGAGATGTCTGTGAATTTGAAAAGTCTCCCCAGAGGAATTATTTGATATATCCAAAAAGTGCAGCTTGACTTACAGTACCGACTGTAACTTGTCTTCTTATAACTTAAAGCACAGAAAGTGTTGTGAAGTGCTTCCCTCCCCACCAATCATTGCTAGGTAAGTCCTCAAGAGGCCTGCCTAAGGGGAAATGTTAAGCAAAGATCCTCTAACCACATACACACTCACTTTTACAATTCCAAAGCATTTCATTTGCACACTGTATTCTTAAGTAAAAGAATTAGCTGTGCCGGTAGGAACATCAACAGAACTATAATTCACTGGTTTGTAACTAGATCATCCATGCGGCCTTGTGTTCTTAGACAAGAATGCTTGAAAGTGACATTCCTCATGTTTCTACTTAAAGAGAGCATATGGGCACATCTTGTTTCCAACAGAAAAAAAATCTCCGTGCATTTTCAAATAGGTACTGAAGCCCCAAGAAGACCTTTGTCAAGTCTTCTCAAAATCTTCTCTATTTAAAACTAGCAGTGGGCAAACTGACCTTGGGTTCTGGTCCTTGACTCTGGTAATTTTCCAAGAGAATTATGTTCAGGGCACAGCTGTGTCCTTTCAGTGAGGGAAGGCAAATTACTTCTCTCATTTCCAATGACCTTAACACCTGGGTTAGGATTCTGCCTGAGATGGCCCCCTAACTTCTTCGAGCATTAAGTCAGTATGTTCCTTCATCTTGTATTCATTCATTCTCTCAAATACTTACAGAATGCCTACTCTTTGCTATTTTATTGTCTAGATGCTAATTACATTACAGCAATGAGCAAGGTAATCACAATGTCTTTCCTCAAAGAACTTACAGTCCTGGGTTCTCCTGGGTCATCCCGGCTGTTCGATTCTTGACCCAGACTCCTTTCCCAAGTCCCTCAGTTAAAATGGGTGTTCCCACCCTATTCCTTAGGCCAACTGTGGGTTGAATATTGTCTACAGGGGCCTCCAGCCCTAGGCCCATGCTGAGACCCACTGCCTCACCAGAAGGATCTTGACAGGGAGGCAAAGAGGCCAGACAGGTCACCATCACCCCTGATCTGGTCCTATCTTTTGCCCAGTCATAATCTATCCACACCCAGGTTCCTGAAACCCACATCACAAGAATCTGATGGCCAGATCTGCGGCTGTTCCTCTGTCCCTCTGTATCCCGACACTCCCCAGAATCACTGGACTTGTATAGGACCTGGTACATTCAAATTAGTAGTAATCTTATCACCATGGAATTGATGTCTCAGAACTGTGTCTGAAATAAAGAAATAGATATCATGCAAAACCTGTGTCAGTCAGGGTCCCAGTAGGAAGCAGATTCAAAACAGGGTTTTGGAGAGGGAGGGTTAATAAATGGACTGTTTATAAAGGTGCAGGCAGGGTGCCTAGGCTTAGTAACAGGAGCTGGGGACATTTTGACCACCTAAGCCTCACAAAAGAAGGCGAGGTCTTTGATGTCACCTCCACAATCAGCCTCCTGAGGCAGAGTGGAGGGTGGAAAGGAACAGAGAGAGAAGATCTGAAGGGGCAGATGGAAGCTATCTGGCACTGAACTCCTCATTCAGATTTTGCAGCAATTTAGACAGGAGCTGAGATCTAGGCATTGTGCATTCATCTGCGGAAATTAGCTTTGTTATGCAAATGAGCAGAATAAACTAAATGGTGAGAAGAGCTTTTATTCTTTGGGGGGGGAAGTAAACGTCTTCAGACATTTTTAAAATATGGAAGAATCCATTTGCATAGAACAATGGATGACTTTTCTTATTTATTAAAATAGGTCTCACTCTGACACATTGTTAGCATTAGCTGTTACTAAACGTGACTGAGAGGAATAAAACTACTTAAAACAAGCTGGATTTCAGACTTATAGCTAATTTAGGTTAGTTTCTTTGCACCCTTGCCAAAAATAAAATTAGATATACCAAACAAGGTGCTTTAACATGCATAGTAACATTATAACACTTATCAATGAATTAATTGAACACTGATTTTCTGCAGTCCACTAGAAGAGCCTAATAACACGAAAACAAGTTGATATTGGAGTGAGTTTTACTTTTTTCTTTTTTTGATGAATTTTTCTTTCTTTAAATATTTTTTTATTGAGGTAGTGGGGCTTTTATTTTAAAAAAATAATCAAAAGTGGACTTCATTCCTGTATGTGCCATCACACAGCCCAGGCTCCTGACATCCCTCTCTGCCTCCATCGCTGACCCCGGGTGGCTGGCATGAGAATGTTGAGGCCCTGCCTGAAGCCCAGGAATCGCTCACACACAACAGAGTCCTCAATAGACAAAGTGCTGATCATTGCCACTTGGCCATTTACTAGCTGTGCCACCGTGGGTGAGTTACTTAGTTTCCCTGAGCCTCAGTTTCTGAAATTTAATATGGACACAATGGTTGAAGGTGGTTGGGGTGTAGTTACATACCTCTGAATCATGTACAGTGTTGTAAATCAATGTTACCCAATTTTTAAAAAATACAAAAATAGTAACAATAAAAAATGGGGAAAATGGTAGCATCTATATCATCAGTTGTTATGGTGATTAAATAAGAAAAGGTCTGTAGGGCCTCCCCTGGTGGCGCAGCAGTTGAGTGATGGGCTGCGAAGCTGCTTGCAGCCTCTGCAGCGCCAGTTCCATCCCCGACCGCCCGCTGGCGAGGGTGCCACATGGTGCGCAGACCTCTCCTGCCACCCGCTGCTCCCCTCAGCAGTGTACTTCGGTCCTTCTGCCTGTTCTGTTCCCCACTCTGGCTCTGGTGAATCCTCTCACCCTCCCACACTTCTGACTGTACCCAGTGCTTGTATAAATAAATAAATAAATCTTAAAAAAAAAAAAAAAAACAAGGTCTGTAAAATACATAGCCGGACACTCGATACATTATAAGCAAAAACCAGGATTTTCTACTTGGAAACAAGAGCTAATGCAAAGAAAGGGGGCAAAAAAAGCAGGGGTGAGGAGTGGGTCACCTTTCAATTAACTAGAAGTTACATTGCCCAGATTCCCATTACCCAAGGGGTCCCATTAAGTCTACACTTATGCTATTGATTTTTTCCAGGACAACGATCATTTTACACATTAAGGGTCTCTACCGCCCGTTGCTATTTTACAGGTGGCAGCTATAATAACATCTCCACTCATGTCAATGCAGAAGTCTTTATCTCTTTTTCTGTCAAAAGTGGGAGGCAAAGCAGAATAAGAGACCTAGGTCACTGTGGTGGGGAAATATGTCTAAGAATCCACAAGGAATCGGTCAGGAGGGAGAGCTGAGGTAGAATAAGAGGCAAAAGAGGAAGAGATTCCAATTGCAATGGTGTGTTTGTTTGGCTCTTAATCCAGAAAAGTTACATCTGTAAACATCAGTCCATTTACACATCTGATTTATTTCTCCCTTTATCCTTGTGGCATAAAGTCCAGAATCACAAACTTCCCCCCATCTCCATAAGGGGAGAGGATTGGAGTGAACAGAGCACACTGACAAAAGGAATCTGAATCCTATCCCCCTATACATCCCTTGCCCTGGCCTCACAGCCTTCCTCTCCTCCCCGAGGGGCCACTGATGTACAGTCCATTTCCCCACAGCAGCCAGAGTAATCTTTTTTTTTTTCAATTGTTACTACATCTATTATCTTTAATTTTTTATTTTTAATTTTTTGAAACATTTATTTATTTTTGTACAAGAGCTGGGGTACAGGCCAGAGGCATGGAAGGGTGAGAGGATTCACCAGAGACAGAGCAGGGAGCAGAACAGGCAGACTGACTGAAATACACTGCTGAGGGGAGCAGCGGACGTGAAGGTCTGGCCGGTCGGGAATCAATCCACACTGCAGAGGCTGCAGACAGCTTTACAGCGCAGCACTCAACCAGCTGTGCCACTGGGGAGGCCCTATTTTTATTTTTTAATTAAAATTTTTAATTTTATTTTTAAATTAATTTTTAGTTTTATTAAGGTAACATTGGTTTGCAATGTTGCATGTGATGCAGCAGTATATGATCACCCCTCTTCAGAGTCATGCTTTCCAAGGCACATCATGCCTCTCCTCCACTCAAAACCATTCAGTATCTCTTCCTGTCACTCAAAGTAGAAGTCTTAGTTCTTCCCATGGCCTGTGAGGGCCTCAGCAATTTGCCTGAGCCTGACCACCGCCACGAGCTCCATGACTTACCTATCACTCTCCCCCTGCAGCTGCACTAGGCTTCGTGGTTTTTCAGGAACACACCAAGCACAGTCCTGACTTGAGTTCTTCATGATGACTATTCCCTCTGCCAAGAATACTCTTCCTCCAGATACCTGCATGGCTCACACCAGCAACCTCTTTCAAGTGTTCCTTAATTGTTCCCTTCTCTGTGAAGCGTTCCTTTACCAGAGCCAATCCCTGGTCTCAAAAGACAAGTGGACTAAATGATCATATCCCCCTAAAATTCTGATATTGAAATCCTAACCCCCAAGGTGACGGTGTCAGGATGTGGGGCCTTTGGGGAGAGATCAGGTCATGAGGACAGGGCCCTCATAAATAGGATTAGTGCCCTAATTAAAAGACAACCCAGAGAGCTCTCTCTCCTTCTGCCATGTGAAGATACAGTGAGAAAACAACCATCTATGAACTACAACCTCACCAGACACCAAATCAATCAGCACTTTGATCTTGGGCTTCCCAGCCTCCAGAACTGTAAAAAAAAAAAAAAAAAAAGTTTGGTGTTTAAACTCTCTGACCTATTGTATTTTTGTTTTAACAGCCTGAAAAAACTAAGACAACCACCCCAATTGAAGCTTTACTTTTTTTTTAAGAAAATATTTATTTATTTATACAAGCACTGGGTACAGTCAGAAGCACGGGAGGGTGAGAAAATTCACCAGAGCCAGAGCGGGGAGCAGAACAGGCAGACTGACGAAACACACTGCTGAGGGGAGCAGTGGGCAGCAGGAGAGGTCTGCGTGCCATGTGGGACCCTCCTCCGGTAGCCGGGGAGCAGCCGGGGATCGAACCGGCGCTGCAGAGTCTGCGGGCAGCTTCGCAACCTAGTGCTCAACTGCTGTGCCACCGGGGAGGCCCCGCCAATTGAAGCTTTATAAGTCAGTTTACAAACTTCATAAGTCAACACCTCTGTACTATGTATATTTAACTACCTCTTTTGTTCATGGCTGTATTCCCAAGGCTTGTTAGAGTACCCGGCAATGATAAGCATTCAGTATTTGTGGAACAAGCAAATTCACAGTTTAAAGCCCTGAGAGTGAGACCCAGGACCCAGGAATCCTTTTCTTTTTTTCCAAAGCTAACCAGGTGATTCTTCTGTGCATCCAGCATTAACTCCTGGCTCAAAAATCAAATGGCTCTTCATAGCTAATGAGAAACAGCAATCTCTGGGATAGCTCCTCTGCAGAAGAAAATATTTGCATGTATCTTAGCTCAGTAAATATTCACCTGCAGCTTTGTTTTCCTCCCAGGTTTCATTACCCACATATGATAATGTGTTATTGCAAAAAGTGCTTAGGAGCGCAAGCACAGGGCTTGCATACCTATAATTATGGATACCCCAGCCAAAAAGTCAGCGATCATGGGGGCTAGGGGACTCAGTTGCTGCCTGCCTGCCTGCCTCCCTGTCTACTGTCTGCCTGTGTATCTGGTCCCCTGCTTCAGCATTAAAGGCATGTCAAATACACCTAAGGCCCCAAGATTCTTTTCCCATTTGCCTGAATAAACCATGAATCTGTCTGGCCTGGGATGGTTGCACAACAGATGTAAAATAATGGTACTTCAAGAACAATTAAAAAAAAAAACACCAGCTCACCAAACTCACAAGAGATTGCTAACACAGACTGTGTCATTAAACATCTACATAACTAACTGGAGGTGCCACAGCCCTGACAGGAAGGAGGGCTGCACACTGATGGAGTACCAGCCACATAGGTCTTAATCTAGAGGGAGGGAAGAGGGGAGAAGGCAATGTGACCGGGGGCATTGCTTCTCAGAGTAGTGCCACATGGTGAACACCTGTAGCCACTAGAGAGCACCTCTGCTTTGCCCAGATTTTTTTTTTAAGATTTATTTTTTTCATGTATACAAGAAGCGGGGTACAGGCCAGATGCGCGGGAGGGTGAAAGGATTCACCAGAGACAGAGTGAGGAACAGAACAGGCAGACTAACGAAATACACTGCTGAGGGGAGCAGCGGGCGAGACAGGAGAGGTCTGCTGCACCATGTGGGGATCTCCGCGGCTGACCGGGATCGAACCTGTGCTGCAGAGGCTGCGGACAGCTTCACAGCACTGCGCTCAACCGCCTGCACCACCAGGGGAGGCCCTACCCAGATTTTTGACATTGTTTTTAACAAGTGTTTTGAGGTGTCAAACACCTGGAGGTGAGAGAAAAGAGGGGGCCATCAAATGGAGAAGAGTAAATTTGTGCTTCCCACTTAAAGGGGGAAGCAGATGGGGAGATGCATGATGGGAAATAATATGTTTAAGAATAACTACCATTTTAACTAGGCACCTATTGTCTCATTTAATCCTCCCAAAAGCTATGTGAGGGAGGTCCTATTATTATTCTATTAGGAAGAAACAAAGGCTCAGAAGGGTTAAATAATTTGCCCAAGATCAATGCAAGTTGGTAAATTGGCTACACAGGACTGGAACTCTCTAAATTCCATGCCTTAACCCAGTGTTCCTCAAGCGTTTCAGTCTGTTTGGACTCACCAGGACAGTTTGTTCTAAAATGCTAAGTGCCGGGACCCAAGATTCTGATTTGGAAGGTCTGAGAAGGGGCCCAATAATCTCCATGTTACAAAAACCACTCCTCCATGCCTGGGTACTTCTGTTGTGTGATGCCCTGGAGTGCGGAAGCTGCCTCCTCCTTCCTCAGCACATCCAAACGACACTTTAAAAGAAGCCTAAACTGGGATTCTCTCCTGCTCTTTGATCCTCTTCCACTTCCTGGAGTTGCTTGAGAAGTTCAAAGGCCCTACCCAGTGAGCTCAGATCAGGGACAAAGTGCACACATGGCTTTGAGTGAGACTATCCCAGCTGGCTCATATCCCAAGAAAAAGGGTGAGCTCTCCCTCAAAACAAGGCCCCCAAACTAGGGAGGGGTGATAAGCGGCTCTGTAGCAGAGCCAGTCACCCTGAACACCTTCAGGAAGAGAGCATATGTTTGGCCTTGAAGTGGATGATTTGGTCTCTGATGTTTTTTTTTTTTTTTTCTCCGCACCCCTCCCTACATAGTCCCAGGAGGAAGAAAAGCAAACACTGGATAGGAGAAATGCCTGCAGTGGAGAGCGCAGAAGCCTTCCCAGCTGCTGGGAGCCCCACTGCCTCTGGCGGGGGAGGGCTGCTCCTTCCTTTCTGGAGCCAAAAAGCTGTTCTTTTCCTGGCTTCAGTGAAATCACCTGCATTTCGAGTTAATTCCGCTTTGGCCCTCCCTCAACACACTGTTCTCACACTCTGCTCCCCAGAAAGTCAGCCCCTAACCCCACTGTTCCCTTCAATTTTTCCCCATCAGGTTCCCCAGGCCAGATTTCTGGGGCAAGTTGAGGTAAGATCCTGGGTGACATGGTGATTGTGAGGCTTTCAATTAAATATTTCGCTAAAGAAACGAAGGCAAGGGGGAAGCTCACCGTTCTGCTCCTTCCAAAGAGATAAAACTCGTGAAGCAGAAACCCACACAGGACCCAAATTTCCACTCTGCCACTTTGTATAAAAGTTACTTTAATCTTTCTGAGACTGGTTTCCAGAAAAAGGGATAATATCGCGTATGCTCGAGAATGTTAAGGATTATATTAAAATAAGGTACATTAAAACGTCTGGCACACGAGGCTCAGTAATAAAAGAAGCAACAATAACTCGGTAACATCTACTGAATGCTTATTAAATGCCAGGGACTCTTCTATTCTCCATAGTGGGATTCATTTATTTAAATTACAACCATCCTCTGAAATAGTGCCTTGTGCTATGCCCATTTTACAGATAATATAAAACAGGTTTAGAGAGATGGAGCAAATTGCCCAAGGTCACAGAGTGAGTTAGAATCAGAGCTGAGATTCAGACCTAGGTCTGTGACTCCAGAGCCTGCTGCTGTTGATATTGTCATGACATTTGGTGTTCACCAAGGACCTGCTTGTGCAAAACATACGGACAGTTACACAGACCACAAAGAGCAAGTGTGCATGGGCACCATGCTCGACAAGTTCATGGTCTTCAGATACGGAGACAAGGCCTAGACATTAAGCAAAGTCTCATACAAAATAGCTCTGCCAAAGTGCCCACAAGTGGTTCAGAAGTGCAGAGAGGGGAGCATTTTGAGGGGACAGTCCTCCATGGGTCTCTTGTATTTCTGTATCTTGCTGGCTACGCTGACAATGCAAGGCCCTGACTGCTCTTTACCTGGGACATTTCTCAGGGTTATGTGTGCAGCAAGCAATCTTGAGGGACCCTCTGAGACAAAGAGTAAGCACACTTACTGCTTGCTGCAAAATGCTGGGTACCCCAAGCTCCGTGTCCCTCAGTTGTGATGTAAATTGACTACATACAAAGCGTGCATCTGGGGTCCTCCAGGTTGCCCCTGTGGAATATGGGGACAAGGGCAACAAGGTGCAAATTTGCTGATGCTCACGCTGCTTGCTGCACTGTGAGTAACACCGACGGGTGTCTCTGATCCAGGAGTCTCGTGTTTTCTTCCAGCACCTGTGAGACAGTAACAGGCTAATGAGCTTGGAAGCATAAAATCAGACCCCAAACCTGACCCCCAAACTTGAGAAACAGAGTTGTGCCCACACACACTTTTAGGCTGCACATATAGCAGTGAACAACGTTCTCTCTCATAGAGCACACACTCTATGTGGGCAGACAGACAAGGGTACAAAGAAGCAGAACTAGAGATGGTGGTCAATGTTATGAAGGAATAAGCAGGGGTGAATGAATGGCGGTGTCCTCAGCTGTACCATGGAGCCGGTATTCGTACCGACCTCTCAGGATGACTGGAATGCCTACTCATGGAAAGTCTTCAACAAAAAGGGCCTTTCATTAGTAGGCCTCCTCCCTTCTCCCATGGAAATAAGGAAAGAATGAAAGAGAGCAGCAGAAGAGGCTCCTTACAGCTCTTGTGAGGGTGGAGTTCAGCAGAAGGCTCCTTTCCTAAGCAGCTATGAAGTAAGCAGGTCCTTGCTTCCTGAGTTTCTGCTCCCAGTACCTGGGAACGAGGAATTTGAGATGTTACAGCAAAGAAAGAGAACGTGGAATTATATCAGTCCCTAACCTTGGGGCAACCCCCTTACCCATGAAGACATCCACTGAACACCCAGTCTCAGGTGAGCGATTCTGGCTCCAGGAGCTCCCTTCCTCTCGCCCTTTCCCCTCATGGTGCCCAGCCCCCACCTTATGCAGGACCAGCAGGGCAGAGCTGGGTCGGGGAGTCTTGTCAGTGCAGGATACACAGAACCCAGCCCGGCTCAGCTCCTTTCCTTCCCACTTCTACCACCCAAATGCAGCTGCTTGCTTCTGTCCCCAGCCAGCTCCCACCCCAGAGCTGATCCTGACAGCCATGTCTCTAACCTAATTGCTCCTCTCCAACCTTGCCCCAGCGCCTGTGTCAACATGAGCTCAAAGAGCCAGCTCCGGCCTAGACACGGCAGACATTAGCAAATGGCAGTTGCCATCATGCAGAGGGCTGGACTTCTATTTTTCTTTCTGAGCCATCAAACAAGAAACTATTTCAAGGACCCATTTTGTGCCATGAATGCATCCCTCCCTTCAATAACTCATCCAGACATCACCCTAATAGCTCTGTCTCCTGTGCAGACAAATAGCTGGCCTCCAATTACTTGGACCCATTTGCCGCTGTGGTGCGTTTATGTTCAAATGATGCTTGGTGATCAAGTGGCTAATTCACAATAATGATGGGATAGGACACTTCATGTCTTTGCTGCAGATTTTGCTTCTATGTACTATATTTTAAAGGACGAAGGGTTTTAAAAGAGACCTTCATTACAAGGGCAGGTTACCCTTTGTTCTGTGATGTCTGGAACTGGCTTAGTCTGCCTTGGCACAAAATTTTCCTCTAAATTGTCCACAACCTGAGTTTCCCCAGGCCATGCCATCCTGCAGGTGCCTAAAAGGCCACACCACCAATCCTTTCCCAGATTTTACCAGCTCTTGCCTTTATCTCTCATGCAGAACTCAGCCTCTAACCAAAGGCCCCTGAAAAATATTGAAGACTGCCAGGATATCTGCTTCCTGCCGGAGGATACAGCAGCTGCCCTCCTCTTTATTCTTTGTTCCAGTACTAAGTGACTGTGTGTCTGTTGGACACCGCCACCTGCTGCTACAACTGAAGCTCTGGGATGCTTGAGGTGCCGTAAGATCGGGCTCCCCAAAAATGTTCAGATGGCTTTTTCCAAGATGTCCAGAGCAGGATTTTTCCAATATATATCACCTTGGCCTATGGAGCTAAGGTCAACTGAGGCCCTGTGGGCTTGAAGAGGAACCACTCCCATTATCTTAAATGATGCAGATGACTCAGACTTGGGGTCATCTCCAGAAATACCCCTTTTATCAGAGAAACCTAACTTAATATAAAGCATCCATTCCTTGTTCAGTGAGATGCCCCCTCCTCTCTCCCTGATGCCCCTTAGCTCAGAATACACATGCTCACTTTGTCCCATTTACTCCAGAAGTTACAGCAATGTTAATTCTCCACATGCATGTAATTAAATTTGGGCTTTTTATTCTACTCATCCGCTGTTAATTTGTTTGCTTGACCAGCCTGAGAAGAACCCAGAAGGGTGGGGGAATTTTCCCCTGTGTCCCAAACCATGCCAAAACTGTGCCAGGTATTGTTATAAATGGTGAATGCCTCTCTTTCCTTTGTGACACTCTTTGTTAGAGTAATAGCTAAGCAGGCTTGCTTATGTGCTAATATCCTACTAAGGTTTGGGGATTTTTTTTTTTTTTGCATAGAAGAACTGGGGTGTAGGCCAGAGGGGGGTGAGAGGATTCACCAGAGACAGAGTGGGGAGCAAAACAGGCAGATCTACTGAAATACACTGCTAAGGGGAGCAGCAGGTGAGACAGGAGAGGTCTGCTGTGCCTTATGTGGGTTATCTCCCTGGCTGGGGATCAGACTCAGGCCATAGGGGTGATAGCACTGAGACTTAAGCCCTAGGCCACCAGAGGCCCCAGGTTTGGGGATTTTTAGAGAATCTCCCTTCTTCTACCTACTTTTTCTCAAACTATTCAGAAATTATTTCAAAGGCAAATGGACCTAGAGCCAGCCACACACATCTGCATTCAGAATTTCTCCTTCCTTCCCAAAACCAAGGATTTCTTACTAGACGCAGTTCACTGTGCTTGGCCTGTGTTTGCCTCAGAGTGAAGCACGTGAATGGAACTTCAATGTTGGTTATACTCTTCCTCACACGGGCATCACCTGGGCAGCCTTTGTCCTACTCCCTATAAGGGCTAAGTGAAAAGGGAAGCGAGAAAGAGGGAAAGAGCAGAGTGGAGACATGTAGATGGTCTTTTGTCTGGTTTCCACTGCTAGTAAAAGTTCTTCAAAGGCTATCTACCCATGCCAACATCAAAAGGCAAAGAAGAATGCATAATGGCAGTTTCTGGTCAGAAGCAAAAGGATTTCCATCTCCTCAAAAGAGCCATTCAAGCTGAGGCAGGAGGATAGCAATGGAAAGATTTTGTGCCTGTGTCAGGATCGGATAGGGGAGGGAGCTTCACTAGCTGGTCTTCAAGGCCCATGATAATGCTGAGGAAGGAGAGATTGCTTAGAACAGCTGCCACTTACCAGCTGGGTGATGCTGGCCAGACATGTAGATTCTTAATATAGCACTGGGCACGTATTATTTCTCAAACTCACTCTAATATTGTTGACCATCCAAAAGTTCTGAGCTAAGGTTTCCCATCCAGTATCTCATTTAATCTTCATAACACTTAGGTGATAAGCACCATCATCATCTCTGTTTTACAAATGAAGAAATTTTGGATCAGAAAGATCAAGTATCTTGCAGTGGCAGTCAGACTTTGACCCTGACCCATTGGCCTCCATAGCCTGAATTTGCCCATCATGATGTCACACTGCTTCCAGTAGGACAGTTCTATCCATTGGCAAATGAGGAGCTATCGTAAGGTGCTTCTGTCTCCTGGTATCCCCTCTGCTGACTTATGAGCGTGAAATTCCTACCTTTGGATTATGGATAGCTATAAGGCTACATGGGGTTTCCTTGTTTTATTTTTCAGATTTCAAAGCAGTTTTAGACTCACAGCAATAATAAGCAGAAAGTACAGGTATTCCATTTATACGCATACACACACACACACACACATGCACACACGCATAGTTTCCCTCATTATTAACCTCACTTGCCAGAATGGCACTTTACCAAAGATAAACCTTCACTGGAATATCATAATCACCCAAGTCGATATCATTTACATAACATTCATTCTTCCTGGTGTATATTTTACGGGTTTGGTCAAATGTATAATGACAAGTATTCACTATAATAACATCATGCAGAGCAGTTTCATGCTCTAAAAATCCTCTTTTTCCCCTCACTCTCTTCTTTTCTCTCAACCCACTACAGGAGATGAGAGTAAGAGTGTCATTTGAAAGACAGAGGAAAAAACAATAGCTATGTATATTGAACACTTGCCTTTCTAAGTGCTATAAATGTGTTATTTCATTTAAGCCTAACAACAGCTAAAAGTCAGAGGAAGTTAAATGGGTTAAGAAACTCATTCTGCAACACTCATTGGCAGAGCCATCATTCAAACCCAGACAGTCTGATTTTATAGGCTGGTCTCATAACCATATTGCTGAGTGGCAAAAGAAGGCAGGGAAAAAGAAGAGGCAGGGACTGTCAAGACTCAAGAGAAGGCGTTTCCGGGCTCAGGGAGCATAGAAGGCAGAGGAAAAGCAGTCAAATTCCTAAAGAAGCAGCCTTCTCTGCCCAGCCTCCAAAGTGACCCCAAACCATAGCTCTGCTGTGAAGCACAAGGCGCAGAGGCAGACTCAAAATTTCCTCTGTTAAGATCAACACCTTTCTTTCAGGCTCTGCTTTTTTTAACTTTTTATTTGGAAATAATTTCAAACTTACAGAAAGGCAAGAAGAATTTTTAAACAAGGAATAAAGAATACCCATAAATCCTTTAGCCTTTACCCAGATTCACCTAATCCTTATCAATTAATCATCCTCCCCCCACCCGGGTATGTAACATACACACATGCATTTTTTAACTATCTGTAAATAAGTTACATACATCAGAGCCATTTTCCTCTAAATACTTCAGTATTTTATAAAAATAAGGACAATCTCTTACATAAGCACAAAAGTCAACATCAGTAAATTTAACATTGATCCAATATTTTATATAAGCTACCATCTGTATTCAAGTCTGTTAGTCTGTTTGTCTTTTATGTCAACTTTTTTTAAAATACAGTACTTTTCCTTAAAAAACAAAAAACAAAAACCCAGAACATTCCTCATTGGAAGTTGGGCTGATATTTCTTCATGATTAAATCCAGGTTTTGCATTCCCAGCTGGACTACTACATAGGTGATGTCATGCCCTTCTCAGGGTGTCACATCTGGTGACATATAATGTCCATCTGTCACCACTGGTAATGTGAATTTTGATTAGCCAGCCAAGTTGTTGTCCAATTTCTCCACTATGTAATTATTTTCCCCCTTTTAAGTAATAAGCAATTCTGTGGGGAGAAACTTTAAGAACGGGCCAATATCCTGCTCCTCATCAAAAATTTCCTTATAAATTTTCGCCTAGGTTTAGCATCCACTGATCATTGTTACCTGCTTTGATCTCTATTGTGATGACAGCAAAATGATGATTTTCCAACTGGAGAACTCTCCACAAGTCACTGGGCCCTCAGCCTTCTAGGTAAGCAAGAGACTTCCCTTCTTCCCTGTTTACTTATCTTTTTATTGTCAGTATGGACTTGTGAATTCCCTTTTTTTCCAATGTTTTATAATTCATCAGTACTTAATTACTTTGGCCCTCATACTACTGTGGATTTGGTCAAGCCTTCACTCTATTTATTTTACTTAATGGAATGCTTTTTTAAAAATATCTTCTTTTTATATTTGAGATTCAGTTGTCTTAAAAGTATATTATTTGATGTGGGTTTTTTCTTGTTTTCTTTTTTCCAAGTTTCCTTGATT